AGCGAGGTGGGTGTTGGTCTCTTCTCCCAAGTAACAAGCGATAGGATGAGAGGAAATGGCCTCAAGTTGCGCCAGGGGAGGTTTAGATTGGATGTAAGGAAAAATTTCTTTACTGAAAGAGTGGTGAAACATTGGAACAGGCTGCCCAGGGAAGTGGTGGAGTCCCCATCCCTGGAGGTATTTAAAAGATGTGTAGATGAGGCACTTAGGGACTTGGTTTAGTGGGCCTGGTGGTGTTGGGTTGACGGTTGGACTCGATGATCTTAGAGGTCTTTTCCAACCTCAGTGATTCTATGATTCTAACTAAAGCTGAATTGTGGATGCAGTTGCAGTGCAAATGTTTTCAGTTATCTTAGGGCTGTGTCTGTGATGAAGTATGCGGCACTTACTGCAGTGTTCAACATTTGATACCTTTAAAATGTATTAAATGTTTACTCTTTAATAAGTACATAAGTAAAGTTCTTGTTTGTGTGTTTACAGGAGAGAAACCTAATTCTTCAGCTCTTCTTTTTCCTTGTGGAGCCCTGAAAAGAGAAGTACTTCCTACAGTACTTAGAGAAAAAGGTTGAACCTCCCTTGGAGCCTCATTTTAATTAGTCAATTATGAGAAAAGTTGCATCTAAAGTTTGTGAACCAAATTTGAATAAGTAAAAATTGAATTTGCTATTATGTTGGCTAGAAGGTAGAGGAGTAAGTAAAGAAGTAAAAACTCTGAGATCGGATTGCTGCCCACAGCTCTGGGACTGGGTTGTAGCGTGACATGAGCAAGGTTGTTTGCCTTGTTCTTCACTTGCGTTCTCTTCTGTGATATGGAAGGCACCTTATTCACAGAAATGTTGCAAGACGTGCCAGTTTTCCAGTGTGCTTCGAGGTCCTCTGATCACAGATGCTTTAGTCTGTCTTGCAACCCTAGAAATACCTACAAATCCTTCACAGAATTTTTTCTGTACCTTCTTAGCCTAAAATAGTACACTTAAGTGCAGTTAGTATGTTGAGAGTGTTTTATTGAAATAATAGAAATTAATGAAACCCTGTTTAATTATGAATGTATATTCTGATTCCAGGTATACCTCTGGAAAGCCTTACTGTTTATCAAACCACCCAACACACTGACCTGCAAGAATCATTGAGCAGTTATTTCTCACAACAGGTATCGGACACTGATATAATTTGAGACTTTTTGAGGTATATGGTAATAGCTAGCAGAATATACTCCTTTTTTTCAGCTGTCTGTAAATGATACTGTGGTGATAGAAGTATATCGTGCATAGGCGTCTTGTTTTGTTTCCCTGTTGACTACCAAGAAAATCCTTTAGCAAAAGTTTCAGATGGAGAGCGTGAGTCCCTCAGTTACTTGTTATGGCAATTGTAAACGAGCCTAAAAGACACAGTGCCTCCCTTTGAAGAAGAAGGAAACAAAACCTTTCACATTTTGTCTAACTTTCAAACTATGTGTATGTTTCAGAATTACTGAGAAATAACTGCATAAATAATTACATATTCATTTATTCCTTTGAGCTGGACAAGACTACTTTTTAAGTAATACCGTGTCAGAAATTACATTTAGCGAGGATATTTATTGAACAGCTTTATTATTAATTTTTATTAGCGTAATTGAAATATCACTGGACATCTTTGCTATATATTACAAATCAGAATCCAGTAGTATTTACCTGCCCTACATAGTTTCAGTGTTCCTTCTCTGATTAGCCAATTTATGAATGTAGTAATCTCATTTTAAGTATTAAAATTCCAAGTGACATGCTGTTGACAAGTGTATTGAGATATATCTGCTAGAATTGTTATTAATGTTTTTCTCTTTCTAAAACCATCTAGTAAATGTCATTAATCAAGGATCAGTGCATAGTAAAAGATTTGAAGGTACTAATAATTGTTTTTATTTTTTTCAAGACTGGCTTTCTGAATTTTCCATTTGTAGGAGCCTACCTCATATGTAGGATTAATCTTCTTCCAAATGCAGGCTTTCCTTCTTACAGAAACTTGGCCTCCTTGAGCATGTTGCACCTCTTTTTAAAATCTGTGCATTAATGTCTTGCTAAATTACATACTGACTTTGAAGTTCTTTTTCAAGAACTTCAATAACTAAAAGGTTATGGCATGGGCAGTCTAACTGATACATTGTAGTATCCTGGCATTCCCAGGTGGGTATTGCAGTTCTGAACCCCATGTATTTAATTTATAGCAGTTATAAAAGTGAGTCAGTAGTACATACACATTTTGTAACTTTCTGAACTCTGTTTATGGAACTCCTTGCTTGCTGCAATTAGATGTTAGTTTCAGTGTAAAGCTATTAAAATGTGTTTCTCATGCACTTTTTAGTTGTTCTTAACTGATGATATTGTGGTTTTACATTTAGTGCACGGAAAGCTGACATAAAATGACAAGTGTTTAGCACTTTGTGAGAAAATGAACAGAGCACTAAAACTGTCATTCTGGCCTCCATGAGCTAAGGCTAGCTTCCAAGTCATGCGCTATAAAATAACAACAGATGTAGTTTGAGTGGAACTAGTTATCTTTCTTGTCAGAGAGAAAATCATGATAAAGCAAGCATGTGCTTTGGGTCTGCAGCTCAAGAGCTTGGGACCTTCACTCCAGACAGCATTTTGCAGTTTTATTTGGCTACAGAAGATTGCTGCTGCTATCTTAAGGCAGGCTTCTTCTGAGAGAAAGCCCTTCCAGGGGTCTGCAGTTCTAAGGCATCACCTCATCTTTGCCAGAGCATCTCAGGGCAGGCAGAACGTGTCGGGTAAACCACATGAACTGCGAAACAGAGAATATGTGCAGAACTGAGATAGATGGGAATGGATTTAGGGAAATAACTTGCTGAGTTTTCTTGCTAAACAGGAAAATGAGTACGGCTGCAGAACACTGTCGGTGCATTTATCAGCAAGCGCTTGTTTGACAAAGTATTTGGTTAAAGTCACACCTGAATTTCAGCATTCAGTGGTAGAATGGGGGTTTGGCAGGCTGTCTGCACCACAGGAAACCCTTTCTGTTGGCTTAACTGCTGTTTCTCACCAATAAAAACACTTCATGTCCATATAGAGACAGTTGAAGGGATTTATGTGAAAGTGTACTGATACGCTGCTGGAGTAGTGAGTAATCTGTGCCAACCTGTGGTTACTTTTACTCAGGGAATTCCAGCAAGCATCGCGTTCTTCAGTCCATCTGGTGTCAGATTTTGCCTCCAGCACATTCAGAAGCTTTCGGGGGATTTTATCAACCATATCAAGGTATCTTCTCTTTGAAAGTGGTGAAATAAAATAGGGAGTAAGTTTGGGGTGGGCGAATGAGAGATAGGAAACCTGTTACACCCATTACAAACCTTCATCTTCTCTTCTGTTTGTGTTTATTTCTCTGAAAAAAGTTATAGCAAATACAAATGTTATTATATAGCTGAGAGCCTTTTTTTAAAAAAAGAAAAAGGAATTGTTTTCACCTGGAATTCCCCAACTAACTTGCCCAGTCTCCACTGGGTATAAGCTTTATTTTCTCTTAGTGATGTGAAGGTGTGAATAGTTCTTGCTTGAGTCAGCAATTACAGGCTGAGGCATATTAAAATTCCTCTCACTTTTCCTGTTTTGAGGGACTAAGAGCTTTAAATGTTTGTAATGGTGAGATCAATAATAATCTTTCCTATGTAATTTCTAAGTAGCTTAATTGATAAGCCATTATTAATACTGAAAATCTTCAACCTGAAACGGTAAGTACAGTTTAGGAAGCTCAGCCATGCAAGCTGATACACTGACAACGTCAGCAAAGAAGGAAGGGTATGTACCTAAGTAACTAGCAAGAGCTGATGCCGTACCTAACTACGCTATTGTAACTGTAAATAACGTCATTTCAGTTTGCTGCTATCGGTCCAACAACTGCTGAAGCCATGGAAGCAGCAGGAATCCCAGTTAGCTGTACTGCAGAGAATCCGACTCCCCAGGACCTCGCTGCTGGGATCCAAAAAGCACTTCAGTTACAGAACTGCTGTTTACCTAAATAAGAGCACAGCATGCATTTGAAGGTGAATATGGTGCTGTAGGACATTTTTCCATTTTGCAGACCTGTTGTCCTGCAAGAAAGTATTTTTGAGGAATATGCAACACTGTCCTTGTCAGGGCCTGGTGTGAGAAGCTTGCATCTAAATATCTAAGAAATCTAGAATTTGTCCAGCATCTCTTAAAGCATCTAGCTATTCCCCTTTTCTCATGTGTGCAGTGTAAATATTTTATATGGGCGTTCCTTGAAACTAGGTGAGAGGCTAATCTGCATCGGAGTGGTATATTGAAATAAGCTCAATGTATCACCTCATGTATCTCCTAGCACACAAGGTAAGGTTTTCATTTCTCTGTATAAATCAGTTTTACATGCACATCTTCTTTTTCTTTTGTAGAAGAAAAGCATACTTACCACGAAGTATTTTCTGTTGTAAAGCTTACTTGTTCATTGTTCTGCTTTTCAAATATTTATATTAAAATGGTGATTGTAGATTCTCAATGGAATAGGAAAATTCTTGCAGTGAACTTGCACTGTGTGGAGCTAATAGCAGGTCAGGTATTCCCACTAAATATCCTTACAGTACAGAGTCTTAAAAAATTAGTTTTTGCTTTCTATTCCTGTAATGAAGATGGATTTATTAACAGAGAAATAAACTGGCTTATCATCATTAATAATGGTGTTAGAGTTGTCTGTTTTGGATGTGGTTTATGCTTTAATTGTTTATCTGTGAAAGGAGCAAAAGTAATCCTATTTAGCACTAATGCTACCTTCGCTAATGCTAAGAAATTCATAGAAGATTTAAATCATAACGTACTCAATTATAATCCTCATGAAAGTCATTCAAGTTGTTAGTATAGTACTGAGGTTCACAGAATAAGAGAGAAATCCTCATTTGCTGTAAGTTTCTGTTAGCTTAATTCTGAGTATATGACCTGAATTTCCAATTAGGTAAGATGCTCCATACCTAGAATAAGAGTTAATCTGAACCCAATTATGTTAATATAAGTTATTACAAATTATGTATGTGGATTCATCAGTCAGACTGGGCACAATAAGACCTCCATTTTGCTTTACAAAGCAGTTCAATTTCTTGAGATGAAATAGAATATCAGAAGTCTACTAATTGCTGGAAGATAATGTTGAAGAGTGGGAGGAATACTTCATCATTGAAGAACACCCTGTAGGACACTAGAATCGCTATGGTAACTGGATGTAGCTGCAGGACCATGTAGACATACCCCAGGAAAAGAAGGAAGAGAATGATTACGCAGCAGTTGTTGACTTTGCCCCCCCCCCCTTTTTTTTTTTTAATTAAGATGATTGAAGTTAAACTGTTGAACGTTCAGATTCAGCTGGGTAGCATCATTATAACATAGAGCGTGCAGTACTGTTCCTCTCTTCATTCAAAAATACATCTGTGGCAGAGTGCGGATTTGGAAGTCTGTTCAAGTCCCCTGCAGTACTGCTCGCATCTCTAGTGTCTGACATAGGAGACAGCTGGGAGAAGATTTGTGTGAGCTAGTGCCTTGGGGAAGAGGAAGAAGGGGAGACAGGGTCAAGAGAAGAGAGCAAGAACTGGAAATGGAAGCCTATTGTGGGCTTGTGCTCGCTTGCACTATATGGCAAATTCTTTTGCTAGCATAAGTTATATCTAGTTGTTTGTCTTGCACATCAACTCAGGCCTATTTCTACCTGTCTTTCCAGCAGAAACTAGCAGTAGCCATCATTGCCAAGTAACCTGTGCTTACCACATTTAATATAACAATATAAAACCAAGACCACAAAGGGCTCTAGCAGGAAATCAGGTTGCCCAACATCTGCCACATCAGATAGCGTGCTCCTTCTTGACCTGTGGCAAACAGAAGATAAAACTCAGAAGACTTGCTCTGCAATAGAAGAGGTTAACTTAAGTGAGGTATAACTGGCATTTGCTGTGGGATGTAGAAGATCCATACAGTATTGTATATGATGGGCCCTTGGTTATTTTACCCACTACCAACCTGCCTTTAGAGCACTGTGCGAGCCTGTTCCCTGCACACAAATGCTGCTCTAAGGAAGAGACCATGCTCCCAGCTGCTGCCTTTGCAATACCGAGTCTGCCTGCGTAATTAAGAAGCAGGAGATGTTCTCCTGCAGAGGACGTGTCCCACCCAACCGCTGTAGCATTCTTAAACCAGAGAGGGCTTAAGACTTTTATTAGGAAGTAATTTGGCAGATTACAGACCTGATCTACTATTCTGTGTGACTCAGTGAAGTACTGTAAGATATTGCTTGCATTTTGTTACAAAAAAGCAAGACGAGGTTGCACAGCTTCCCCCAACATCACAGCAACGCTGTTCTTGGTTCCCAGAGCTTATGCTGAGGCTCTTCTCATCAACTGGCTGACGGTCATGTGCCAAATACTGAGAGCCTGCAGAAGCACACACTGTTATCTATGCTAGCAGCTACTTCTAAAATCGGCAGGATCGGGGAAGGGGTCAATGGTGTTTTCTTTTGGCTACTTTTTACAGCACTCAGTTTTTTCTTTTCTAAATTGCAGAAAAACCTCCCCACTGCTGCCTCCTGCCCCTACAACCCCTCCACCCCTTTCCATTCCTCCCTTCCGTCCTAAACTGCACCTGCTACCTCAAATTCTCTCAGGAGAAAGCACTGCCTTTCAGCATGGATCTGCACAGTGCAATGCCACTAAGATGCACTCAGGCAGGCAAAATCTCTTCTGAAAAAGCCCATTTAGGCACCTGTTCAGTCCCAGGAGGACGAGAGATTACGCTCTAGTCTGACACTTTTCTTTGGGACAGACCTTCTAGACTGTCCCTCTTGAATGAAGCGAGAAGTGGGGCAGTGCACGTTAGGTGCATTATTACCTTGCATTAAGGTAGTCTGCTAAATGGGATCTGATCAGAGGGTTACCATCAGGAATCTGCCAGCGGCAGTCAGATGAGTAGACTATTTTCTAACCAGCAATCTCTCTCTCTATTCTCTGCACCTGAGACACTGTTACTGATCTCAGCAGTCTTGCTAAGTCACCCCTCAGCTCCTCTGCTCTGAAGAAGAGATTTTGTCATGAACATATTTCTTCTACCCCTCACCATTGCCAGGCTTCCCGATAGTAACAATTCCAAGCGTAGTGCTTTTAGCCAGAAACCTGCTGTTCAGTTTTCTGCAGCTTTGACCTCACCAAAAGTGAGGAGTGTGTAAGGGGTGTTGCGTGGAGCCAGCCCCCAGGGGGAAGGCAGGAAAAGACACAGAAACCTAAGCCCCCCGTCTGCCTTCTTTTTCAAATCAGTCATTCCAAATCAAAAGCAACAGAACAGGTACATACGATGCCTGTCATCTTTCATCCTTTCACAAGGTGCTTTTGCTTCTTTCAGATGCATTTGTGCTCTGCGTTGCATCAGAAAGATCAGGTTTCTTCTGAAGACAGATCTAAGGATGCACTTGTAAAACCACGTTTAAATTGTCAGGATAGAAATTTCTACAAACTGGGGTTTTCTGGGTGAAAACATGCCCCGTACTAAAAAAGCATTGTTCTGTATCTCTCACCATGAGAGTAAGAATCACCTCCTCAAAACAAGCAGCTTAAATAATTAATTCACTACTTGTGTATTAAGTAGAGAGAGATTTAAAAAAAAAAAGCATACATACACACATGTAAAAACTGTTAATACCTTTAAATAAACAGTGTGTTTTATACTGTTACAGAATAGTGAACCACATTTATTTGTAGAAAAACCATTAAGACATCAGATGTTATATTTTTGTCAACTTTCTCTTTAAATAATACATATTTCCAAAAAACAGAGTCCTCACATGCTGAGATTAAGACTACACTCATTTGTTAGGCCTGATTTTACAGATTTTTTCCAGCCCCCACCGCCTTTCAAATAGTTTTAATTCTGTTGAGCAGTTTGCTTCTCTGACGAGGGTCTTAACAGTCATAACCAATAAAAACAAGACTGAGTCACGAATTTATATTTAATAAATAAATTTTTATTTAAAAATATGCTCCCATTTATTCACAGTTTCAAGTCTGAAAAAGATAATACTATTCTTGATCAATTCAAACACAGCTAAAGCCATTCACTTTCTGGGGTAAATGAAATCCCAGTGATGGCTAATATTTGCAAGAGTCTTGCATCAAAGCTAGAAAGGCACACATTTTTGTGCAGGATAGTATCTGTAATAAAAGCAGTGTGTCCGTGTGTCCACATACTCAACAGAAATTTCCTTGTACAGCTTTGGTTCATGTTACCGGTTAAAGTGTTCCACTGAAGCCTTGCTTACAAAGTATGTTTCATTAAATATCAAACCAGAGCAACTGTGAGATTACATTTTTTATGCAAAACATTTATATCACTGCAAAGCCCATTACCTGTAAGAGAAAAACGGTGAATTTCTCCAACATAAAAAACTGTTATGTTTATATCCAGAACCCCAAATTGGCATTTCAAACAAAGAAACACTAGTAACCGAACCATTAGAGTTATCGCAGGATAAAAAGGAATTCCTGTTCTTTCCCAGATGTACAATGTAACAATGTAGGTTGTATTATCACCTTCAATAAATACAAATATCACATGGGAAAAATTACCACTGATCCCATGCATAGCAAGGCACTGTTTCTGCTGTTTTGCAGCATTTCAGTCACTGAATTCCTCCATTACTAGCTTCGTTATTTTGAGTCAGCTGTTCCAATAAATTTAAGATTACCTCTATTCGTTCTAGTAGAGTCATACTTTTGTTAGCAGTTGCACGCAACAGCAGGGAGTAAACTTGCTTGTTTGTTTTAAGAACAACTTCTTCTTCATTAATGCCCCTAAAAAGAAAAACAGATAATACAAACTATTAACCTGACCACAATATTTTATTCTGCAAATTATCAAAACAATTATTAAATAACAGCATTGATGACTATCCCTGTGAAACCACATGGCTGGTGTTTTGATTTGAGTCTCTGATTTCCTTAGTTCCTATTTCCTACCATTTCACAGCACTGCCGTCAGAGCCTCTTTATACTGCAGGAGGGATAAGGTGTTCCAATTTTTATTCAGCTCCAGTCTGGCCATTTTATTAACTCATAATCCCAAGTCACATCATAAACCCTCCAAAATCGAGGTCTCCATGCCAAAACTCTGTACTTTTGTCTAAGTTAGCATCTAATCTGATCATGCCAAATGCAAACAGACACCGGAACACTCAGGAGACGCGGTGTATTTGCTCCCGTGCCATTCCCTGCCATTAGCCTTCCCCTCTAAACCACTACGGGCATCGTTTTCCCGTTCAAGTCTGAAGCCCATGATCTGCCCTCATTCTCTCAATTCCATACATCTAAGCTATTTCCCTACGATAAGAGACTTTTCCATGCTCAATACCTCTACGCAAAAGAGCTTTTCCTCTTTTGCTAGTCTGCAGTCTAAACTCCCACCAATTTTCTCAATTTGACAAATATAATTGTAAATCACTTATCACACACGTGCTGGCATTCTGCTTCAGCGCTGTCACCCCTCCTCTGCCACATTTAATGTCCAAGACTAATAAATAAGTGACCCAAACTAGAAAAAAGAAAAATAAAAAATGCTGCCATTGAGATTATAAATAAATCAAGCGTGTATGTGTGCAAGCAGCAGTCAGTTTAATTGCAAATGCTTCAGGAATTACCAAGAAATGGTGAAGCAAA